TCACTTCGGGCTTCAAGAGCAAGCTGCTGATCAGATTCAGGGTCCTCGGAAGGGCCTGCAACTGACTGCTCAACTTCCTTTGTTGTAGAGAGTGCTGATGACTCCTCTACGCCCCTTGTCTGTTTCCCTGAAGACGATAGCAATCCTGCACAGCATGCCCAGGCTTTGAACAATGCAAGCATACGCGCAGTTTGGATCTTCTTTCCCATTTTTTTTGGCTGATGCGGAGGGCTTCCCAAGGTTTNACAGCATGCCCAGGCTTTGAACAATGCAAGCATACGCGCAGTTTGGATCTTCTTTCCCATTTTTTTTGGCTGATGCGGAGGGCTTCCCAAGGTTTGGTGAAAGCGTCCTCCGGTTTGTCAGGGACCTTAGCATTCTTGGGAAGGTGTATAACTGTTCCCTTACCCGTACCACGATTAGGCCCCTTATTGGTCACTCCTGTAAATCCATAAATCATAGAATAACTGAATAAGAAAATCCTAGAGGAAAAGGCACCTAAAATGAAATATTTTAATCCAGCCTCTGTAGAGAATTCAGAATTTCGTTTTGATGCTGCAGTCTTTCTGAATGCATTAAATTTTTCATCGTCATTTCTATCACACTCAATGGCTGATGCAGAACAAACCGTATCGGAGTCCGGCTCTAGATCGTCATCTAGAGATAGATCATCCGCATAGGACTGATCTTCAGCCTCCCGATGGTCATGCTGTGCAAGCTGGTTGCTGCTTCCAAACCGCTTGCGTTGTGGTTTTCCACCTGCAGCGGGCGCCTTCTTGCGCCTGGCGAGGTCCTTGGCCTCTAGGTTGACTAGATCCTTCATCAACTCTCGCCAGGTAGCATGGTCTTTGAGTGCTAGCAGGGATAGGTATTCTTTAGGGGCCACTCCCATGACTACATCCATGCAAGACACGTCAGTCATCCCTAGATCCGGAGTGGTGAATAGACCTGTCAATTGTTGTTCTAAAGCTTGCATGGATGACCTCCATGTTTGGCCTTTGAGGGCCTCAAGCTTCAGCCTAGCCTTGAGCGCAGCGTGTTTTTCCTGATACCGGTCAAGGAGAAGATCTTCAAGAGCGCGGACAGGGGTAACCTTCAACCATTCAGTCAGGTATATGCGCTCATAGCCTGGAGCAACAGCTTGGAGCTCAATGTGGTTGCGTACGGCGGGCTCGGTATTAGTCCCCATGATCATACTTCGGTCGTCTTGCAGTGTCCGCATGACCTCGAAGTATTACCTGATGGAACTAATCCAAGAGGTGATGTAAGCCTTCCTGTCGTACTTGGACGGCAGCGTGGCTGCCCGGTTGTCCACCATGGAACTGCTGTACTGAACGCTAGTAAGAACTGCGGCGTTTTGGGGTGAACTCCCTACATTTGGGACTGTGACCAGTGCAGAACTGCCGGTGCTGCCGCTCGAGGAGCTGGCACTGGTTCCTGTACTTTCCACAGTTCCGCTGACCCTTGGAACGAGGGTTGTGCTGGACTGAGAGACTGGGATTACAGCAGATCGAGAGTTAGGAGGGCGGGGGGCAGACAGTTGGGACTGTTCAAGGCTATTTNGAACGAGGGTTGTGCTGGACTGAGAGACTGGGATTACAGCAGATCGAGAGTTAGGAGGGCGGGGGGCAGACAGTTGGGACTGTTCAAGGCTATTTACTTTAGCCTGCAGCTCTTGGTTCCACTGCTCAATTGCTGTCACACGGGACTCGAGGTCTTCCAAGTTCCGCAGCCGGACCAAGGCTGCAATAGCAGCAGCTAGCCTCTCCTGGAACCGGTCAGCATTGACTTTCGAAACTTGTAGGAGGGCCTCCTGCGCAGCTATACTCGTAGCTCTAGCTGCTGCCTCCACCTCCCTCTCCCTCTGTACGGCATCATCATATAGTTTTTGAAAGAACGTTTTCTGACTCTCGTCTGCTGCGCCCAGCATGGCCTGCCATTGGTCAGATGTGATGACCGCCATGCTGGAGGAAGGGGTGTCGGTAAAACTCTCAAGAGGGGTCCGCTCTCTCCTTACGTTTGGACGAACACTCCTCTTACCCATTTCTCACACTTTCAAACAGCACACCTTCTCTCTCCCTTTCCTCCCTTTCGCTGTCTGCGCACGCGTCTCGATACTGGACATAGATAGTTCAGATAAAAGAAACAAACAGAAAACCACTCTGAGAAGAAGGTAGAACTCCTGGCCGGAGCGGCGAATCATTTGGACTTAGAGTGTGGCACGCAGAAGAAAAATAAATAGAAATAAATAAATAAAAAAATAAAACAGCCGAGAGGTCAGATTTATAGAACGGGCCTGATCAGATCAGCTGGAGATCCCCTCTTGTCTAACCTGACAGGGGTCATACAACACAGTAAATCAGACGAAGAAGACTAATCTGCAGCAATGGAGATTTCGAGGGGTGCAGATGGTTGCCGAGTCAGACGCGGGGCAGTATGTGCTCACATGCGGTAAGGCCAGTCAAGACCGCCTTGAAAGGAATGCCCTTGTTGTCCGTATGTCCCCCAATTCCAGTTTAGCAAAGAAATGCACTGGCGGCAACAGATCTGGGCCCAAAAGGTCCTGTCCCGTTGGGCCTGGTCCCACTGGGGCCCGAGGGGTCCCAAGTAGGCCGTGGACCAGGACCAACGTGATAGGGGTGCGAAGTTGGTCCCAAACTGCCTCTACCGTACTGAAAAGGAAAAGACAACTTTCAGCAAGAACTCACTTCTACAGCCGTTCAGAAATGAAAAGACAATGCACCGTAGAAAGATATGTCATTTAGAGTAGATACATCATCCGTCCATCCATCAGGTGAGAAAGCAATCCACAAGCTCACACACACAACCAAGACCGCAGAGAAGAGGAAGAGAACCCAACACACCCCCAACAGGCCATGAAGCACCAAGCAACCTCCCACGGGCTTTCCCAGGTCACACGGCACTTACCTGTGAGGCCCGGTCTCCAAAGATGGATTACGAGTCACTCCCCTCTCATATAAGTCTTCCTGACCCCTAGCTACCACTACACGAAGTGTCCTAGCATGACTAAGAGGGCCTACCTACACCCCTGTTGCAAAGCCGAATCCCCCGTCGATGCCTGAAGACCAAAGTAGCAACTTGCAGCAATCCGATGCAGATATGGCAGCCTCCGATCAAGTCTCCCTCTTGAGGGGAAGCCCAAAAGTCACTCAATGTCTTCTTGAAGTCCAGAATCCAGGTGCGAGTACCTCTCACTCTCTACTCCCTCTCGCTTACTCCAATCAGCCTCCTTTGTGTCTCGCCACCCCATACATTCACTCAAGCAACCTGGTTGGGTCCAATGTCGACCCTACATGACCTCACCAGGTGGGGGCAACATCCCCATACCTCGCTGCCCCACTTAACCCTTACTTCCAACCCTAATCCGAGATAAGGTTAGCCCTAACCTAATTCGGAATTAGGGTTAGGGTGACTAACACCTCTCGCCAGCAAATAAGTCCGCTCCAATACCAATTGTTACGATCCTGGTCATTTCTCAAGCGCAAATTCACAATGAAAGACAATGCCACCCAATTGCGAAAGAAATGAAAGCACTTGCAAAGAGATAAAGACCAGAGGAGAGGTAAAGAAGAAGAAGAAGAAGTACACCARCAAGACCAATGACAATTCCCCCTTCTCTCTCCACCTTCCTCCTTCCTCCTTCTCTTCACCAATCTTATTCTTCTCTCAATAATAATAATAACAATGAATGGATGAACCAGAATCAATGTCCGAAGTTCCCCCTTACTGCTGACTCAACTCACAAAAACAACAACAACAACAAGTCCACCATGGCTATGTCTTCCCTCCTTTAACCTCTTCTCTCAAGCATAGGCCATGGAGGACTACTGGAAGGCAGCTATGATGCTGCCCTGATGCTCGAAAGACAACTTAAAGCAGCTATGTCGCTGCTTGACTTGGTCCGCTATGCCTGACTCTGCCTCGAGCTGCCCTGGTGCAGCGTTACCCCAACTGGGGCCTTCCAGATGCAGCGCCCAACAAGGTGATGAAGACGGTGTCCACCATAGCCAGGTAAGTGCCCTACCACTCTCCTACCATGTCCCCCTTCTTCCTCCTTCAAGCTGGGGTGCTCGCCATAGCCAGGCTGAGCCCCTGCAGACCTTTACCTCCAATCCTTGCATACCGCAAATGAGGAAGACCCTTCCGCTCTTCCTGAAGATATAGTGGCCTACCGGCCTCCTGGGCGGTGACTTTCCAGGCCAAGCGCCCTCCCAGGCAACCGGTACCTCCTCCCTTTTGGAGGGAAACATCATTGCAGGCTCTGTTATTGTCCGCACAGGCCCTAGACCTGGGCTACTTGGACTGGTACCGGCCTACCCCCAACCTACCGCTACTGGACCTCTAAAAATGCCAACTTTTTGTCTTCTTCTGCTCGGCCTACCTGCTACTTGAGTGTTTTCCCCAATTGCTCTAAGTGTCGTGGGCCTATCGCCCACTACCGGCGTGTTTTACCCCCCTGCAACCCTCCAGAGTCACGGCCACAGGTAAGTACCGGGCCGGTGGGCCTTGCAACCAACAAGTTCCCTTGCGGGTCAAACACACACATACCCCACCAGCAAGCATTCGGACAGGCATGCACGCACACACACATGACCAGCAAGCACTCAGACAGGCATGCAACCAGCAGGCACGCACACACACAGACTTGGAACCTCAGCTGAATGCGGGAATCACAACAAGGCATCCATTCCAGTGACAAATCCCAAAAATCGGCAGTGTTCTCAGTCTGTGTTTTTTGCGGGTCATTACAGATTGATTGATTGATTGATTGATTGATTGATTGATTGATTGGTTGGTTGATTGGTTGATTGATTGATTGATTGATTGATTGATTGATTGATTGATTGATTAATTGATTGCGCTGCATTGAATGCTTGATTGGTTGATTGATTGATTGATTGATTGATTGATTGATTGATTGGTATATTGATTGATTGCGCTATGGCGGGTGTGAAGCCCGCGGGCTGGCGAAGTGGCGG